GAGTCGTTCGTCCTTTCTTTAAAACAAGAATCCATTTAAGCTAAGAGTAGAATTGACACTTTGTGATCAACCGAGTATAAGCAATCTTCAACATTAGCCGAGCCAATTTGAGAGGCAATCAAAGGTGTGTAAATACGCGTGATTGTGAGTTCATTTTACTAACGCTAACATTGTTTGCTGTTTTTGTTAAGTTTTCTTAATTGTTAGGTACCATGGCAAACAGAAGTGAGACCCGCCCACCTAAAAGAAAGGTTACCTTGGAATCTATCATGGGAGCGCTTAAGGATATAAGTCGGACAATTGGGCACATGAAGGGACACTTGACCACCATGGAGGGTAGTATATCGAGAATGGATGAGAGTATGAACAAGGTAGAAGGTCGAGTTAACTCTACAAACTCCACACCACAAACTACTTTTAGTGCATCCACAAGTGGGCACGACCACACTAGTTCTTCTACTATCACACCCAAAACTATGACCGATTGGCAAGAAAGTATGTCCATGAAGGAATATAGAAGAATCAATGTGGAGGATGAGGCTTGGGAGAGTTCAGACTACCAACGTATGTGGTAAGGCAAACTATACCTAGCAAGACCATGAGTAATCAAAGCCAAAGAGAGAATATTTTCCATTCCAAGTGCCTCATCCAAGGTAATGTATGTTCCTTGATCATTGACAATGGAAGTTGTGCAAACCTTGCTAGCATCACTATGGTAGATTTTTTTAAGCTTCCTACCACTAAGCTTACTAAGCCTTACAAACTTCAATGGTTGAGTGAGGGTCAGGAATTGAGGGTGCATAGACAAGTCTTGATCATGTTTCAAATTGTGAGGTACCAAGATACAGTCCTTTGTGGTGTGATACCCATGCAAGCTTGTCATGTACTACTCGGGAGAGCTTGGCAACATGTTCGTTCAACAAAACATGATGGAAGAAACAACACATATTCAATTATGTCGAATGGACATGAGTATGTCCTTCATCCTATGTCACCATCTCAAGTCATTGAGATGTATCGAAAAGATGGATGAGTTGAGGGATAAAAGGAAGAAGGACGAGGGGCATGTGGAAGTTGAGGGCCAAGAAGAAGAATAAAGGAGGAAGTTGAAAGGAAAAGCCCAAGTGTTATTGGTTGAGCATAAAGAGATAAGGGAGGACGTGTAAGTCAAAAGTTCATTGATCCTTACCACATATAAGGATCATGTGTTTCAAACTAACCCCTATAATTCTTCTCCTGCCCATTCTATTTATTTCCTTTTGTAGGATCCTAGTGAAGCCCTTTTAATGGAGCTACCAAGTGAAGTGACCCCTCCCCGAGGTATTGAGAACCAAATTGACTTCTTAGCGGGCTCACAATGTCTAGCCAAACTGGCTCATAGAAGTAGTTTGGAATATATCCAAGAGCTACAAAGGCGAGTTTAGGAACTCTTCAACAAAGGCTATGAGAGGAAAATTACAAGTCCGTGCGTTGTTCCGGTTCAATTGGTTCCAAAGAAAGATGGAGCATGGCGCATGTGTGTTGATTTGTGGGCCATTAGAAAAATTATCTTAAGGTATTGTCACCCTATCCCTAGATTAGATGATATGATTGATGGGCTCAATGGTTATTGTGTGTTATCAAAGATGGCTCATCCCACTCCATGTCATAAATGGGATGATGTTTCCAATGTGGCATTCTTGTTTGATGAAAGTGTTGCTATATCGTTTGAGAATCCCTTATGGAGTGATGACACAATTTCCAAAGGTGGAACTCTCATAAATGTTGTTAATGTATTTGAGAATCCACTATGATGTGATGACACACTTTCCAAAGATGCAAATCTCTTTTGTGATCATCATAATACATTTATTGGGAAGGGTAGAGTTAAGATGAAAAGGGATGCCTATGTTCTAAATGTTACTTTTTCCTTGCATGTTCCAAGACCTCGTATGAGTTGTGTTTCTCTAGTATCTAGAGTGAAGGCTAAAGTTGGGAACCCCTTAATTGAAGTGTATTTAGGCAACACATTTCTCTACTACTTGTTTGCATATCATGATGCTCATGCTATTGAGTGGAGTATGTTGTTGGAAGGTAAGAGTGCCTATATGATCAAAGGAGGTGCACTTGATCCAAGTTCATGGATTGCCTTTCAATTGACCCCGGTAGTGAGCTGAATTATAGTATTTGTGTGGGGATGCTTGGTCAAAATGGCAGGCATAATATGGGTGAAATTGTTGATACCTTTCCCTATGCAGGAAAGCTCTTCTTGAGGTTTTACCATCCACTTGAAGGGCCTAAATTGTGTATGGGGAAGGATAGCATCCTAGACCCCTTTTGTTATTCTTACTTTGAGCATGATCTTGTTGATTGTGCATCTTATGGGGGTAGGAGATATTTGCCAAGAGAAAGTGAAGTTTGTACCTTCCTTTACTATCTCTTTGCATATGATGAGATCCCTAGTTGGATTAAATGTGCGTTGCATATGGATCGGGGTATCATTGAGGTCTATAATTATTGGTCTGATCCAGTTATGTGGGCCTTCTATCATTTTGATCCCGATGAATGTTTGAAGGTATTTCAACTTGTGGAGGTATCATCTTTTGGGTGGTATTATCCTGTTGTTGAGAAGAATAACAATTGTCCTTGTTCTGCATCTATGGGATTAATAGTTGTAACGACCTAAAACGAGTCATGAATGACACCCACACTACCCCAACTTATTTTAGTTGTTCTACTTACGTAATACAATCATAATGCGGAAGCTAAAATCATATTAAGGTAAGTAACACAAATTCAGTAAAGTCTACTATATGTCATTCCCAAAACCTGAAAGTCATCACATCAAGCACATCTAATCTCCAAATACTAAGTCTAAGAGTATTAAATAACCAAAATAAAAGAATAAAGTAGTCTGTGTCCGAAAACTAAGGACATCATGCCATGACCGAGAGAATCCAACACGAGCTCGAATGAATAACTCACCCTGAAACCTGATATACTAGAGACTAGCTAGAGCTGATGGCGAGTCAAAGTAGTTGGTACACACACTGCACTCCACAAAAGGAAAACAAAGAAAAACACAAGTAGGGCTCAGTACAAGGCAACATGTACTGAGTAGATATCATCTGCGGACTAAAAATAGTAACTAATATGCATAAAGTAATTGTATAAAATCAACTCTAACACTTAGCATGTGATAAGCAACAAACAACATGAACAGTGACAACAGAAGCAAGTACGTAATCAGTCACAATATCAAACACACACACGAGGACTCATTCCTCCACACCACGCTCATTTGGGAAATGGGTCCTTTTAGATTGACTACATTAAGTTAATTCAATATTTTTTCCGTTAATGTTACCGTGCCGGAACGTGACACCCGATCCAATAATATCATGTCAGAACATGACACCCGATCCAATAATACCGTGTCGGAACATGAAACCCGATCCAATAATATTGTGCCGGCTTGTGGCACCCGATTCAATATATCGTGCCGGCTCGGGGCACCCGATACAACAATATATTTAATTTATTTGTCATTCTTTATCATCTCTTCCATTTCTTAAAAATATTTCATTAAACCTTCTTTATTCAAGGCATCACTTTAATTGACACGTTCAAGATTATGGATTCTGCGGTCTTGGGATTACAGACCAATCACAATAACACATGAATTATCCAAACTACAACAACAAAGTACATAGAAAAATTCACAATATCACTTAATGACTATCAATCACTATTAAGAGTCTATCTATCACATATAATAAACCATAACCTACCTCCACCGAAGAACCGAAGTCAAGCAAGCTACTTCTCCAATACTTTTCCTTTCCTCAATTCCTCCGAACCTTTCCAATCTATCAAATATATAATATTTGTAAGTTAATAAGTCCATTGAAACCCATATTACTATGTATCTAGCCTAAACTCAAAAAGTCACCCAAATCCATAGTCAAATTCCTAAACTTTGATACCAACTAATTTATCAAATCTCATATGTCTCCAATTTCAAGTCTAGGGTTAAGTCTCAATCCTCTAATAACATAAATTTAATGGTATTTATGTAACTTTAAACCCCTTACCACAAGTTTATCTACCAGGAACTTCTGACCAAGCTTCCTTTCCTCCTGCTTCACCCCATGATATCCATGAAACTTTAAACCCCTAGCACATGTTTATCTACTAGGAACTTCACCATGAAAAAGAAAATAAAAGATAAAATCATTAGAACACCCAGAACCCAATCCAAACTTTAACGGATAGGCCTCAAATTAATAAACCTTTGTAAATTTAGTTACTGCTCATAATTGTTGGTTCCAAATGTTCCAATCAAAATTTTCACGTGGAAACTAATACTACACCTAAAATCATTGAAACTTCCCCCCTTAAATTCCAACCAAAACGCTATATTCCTACCAATTTCTTATTTGACCAACAAATTATAATAACGAAATTCCTTATAATAATAATAATATAATATACTCTATCCATGATGACCAATACATGTATGGGATGTATTAAATTTTTACCTGGTGAAGAAGGATTGCCTTTTGTTATCGCTGCACCACCGTCTTCTTTCCCAAAAATTACTTTTGTTCCTCAATAATTTCTGATTCACAAATATTAGACCCTTTTTACTTAAATTCGGTTTTTATATATGGGCCAAGTGACATAAGGTGTTAAATAAATTATGGTATTGGCCCATTAACCACCAACTAAATAAATAACATTAATTATTTAATAATTACCCGTCAACTAAATCACTGTAGTTAAATATATAGTTCAAAATCACCATTTAAAATTTATGGGAAAATTCAAAATAGTTCTGGTACTCAAAATAACGTAATGGGTCGTTGCATTGGATACCAATTTACCCATCGTTCATCCTCGAACAATCAAAGGAAGGCGAGGGTAAGAAATGGTACCTAAATCGATAAAAAATGTGGATATCTTTCATGTATATCAGCCTCAGTCTCTCAAGTGGACTCTTCAATCAGTCGATTCTTCCACTAGACCTTGACAAATGCAATCTCCTTTGACCTCAACTTGCGGACCTCCTTATTTGGAATAGCTACAGGCACCTCCTCATAAGATAAATTCTCATCAAGTAAGACCCACTCCCAATGAATAATGTAGTTTCCATCACCATGATAATTTTTCAATATATACACATGAAACACCGAGTGCACTCCTGATAATCCTAGAGGCAAAGCCAATTCATAGGCCGCCTCTCCCATACGCTTAAGAACTTCAAATGGCCCAATATACCTCGAACTAAGCTTACCCCGCTTACCAAACCTTATCACACCCTTCATAGGTGAAACTTTCAGCAACACTTGCTCTCCCTCCATAAACTCCAAGTCTCTAACCTTCCGGTCTACATACTCATTTTGCATGATTTAAGCTACTAGAAGCTTTTCCTGGATGAATTTCATTTCCTCTAATGATTTCTTCAAAATATCAGTACCCATGATTTCACCTCAAATGCATCAAACCAATCGATAGGATACCTACACCTCCTCTCATACAATGTTTCAAATGGGGTCATCTCAATACTCGAGTGATAACTATTGTTGTATGTAAACTCAACTAACAACAAAATCTAATCCCTATATCCACCAAATTTAATCGTACACACGTCGACAACATATTTCCAACGACCTTGACACAACCATTAAAACGATTTTTTTCTCACATAACCATGATAAAATCCCGAATCAATACTGACTACAACCATAAGTGAACCTGAACCAACTAACCACCACACACTCATAATGCATAAACCATCATAGACCTTATCGATATTTCCTTCTGGCAACATAAACTTTCCATGAGCTTAAGTTATATATATATAAAAAAAAATTGTTCCTTAGACATCACGTACTCATAAAGAGGAAACCAAAGTTATTTAACCCAAAGAAGGAAATGATCAAGTCACCATCCATCGAATGATACACCAAGCATACAAAACCTCTGACAACACAGTCAAAATTCTAGTTGTTGATAACCCTTAAGAACGGTAGAGCTAGACCCAATGGTCCACACATTCAACAACACATAATCGGAACATGACCTCGACGACTAGATGAATATTAAGGTTGTCGACAACTGTAAATACCCAGGTTAGCTCTTGTATAAATTCTCATAAGCAATGTGGTATATGTAGAACCACTTGAACACTTCAAAAGCTCCAAGACAACACCAACTATGTTATCTGAGATAACCAAGTATGCCCAAACATCCTACCTAACCAAGAGGACATAACAGGATCGGTACACCCGATACACCATTGGGGATCCATCCACAAAAGTTAAAACACGCATGAGCATAGCTAGTGAATCATATCCAAACCATGTACAAAAATAAAATAAGTGCTTACATAAAAAAGTATAGAACCAAGGTTGAATAACAGTAAATGCTTCCTCTCAAGAGCCCATATCAAACATTTCCATTTAGCTGACTCCGTTTATTTTATTTTTAGCTACCCACAATCCACCAGTCTGGTCCCCATTATGATCGTACCTATACTCTATTTATCAAACTCCACATACTCTTCACATCATTCTACTGAAGCTCACACTCTCAATACTAGCAACCATCATAACCACTCCGGCCATTTACATTACTTTAAACCAACACTTTTAAGTGAAACCCTTCCGTATGTCCTTTAAAAATTAAAAGTAACAAACTTTATGACCAAAACCATGCATAAGTGCTTCCAAATGCTCAATATCCAATTCAATCAATCATTTCTTATCTTACAAATTCATATCTTGACAAAATATACCACTACGAATGTAGACTTACAATGAAAAAAAAATGAATTGTGAATTCAACTATGTAATCTGATCTCCTTATCTATCAATATTAGCTCATACCTTGAAGATTTTTATGAGTTCCTGTATCTTAGCTTATCATTGATTGCCTCTCCATTGATCTTATCATATCCTTCACTAAAAATCCAAGTGTACTCATTACCAAACTCAAACCCACAAAAGAGCTTCTCATCACACTCGAGTTGAGCGTCTATACACTCATTTCTCGAGTCCTATCCAATAGTTTTTAACCAACCTGATGTACATGTGATGCTATTACCATAACCAGAGAAATATGGATGAAATCACGCGTCTCTGAACCCAATTCTCAACCCCTATGAAGATACCTTGTTGGCCCTTACAAACATAGAAATTATTCTTGCTCTCACCTCTTTCCGAAGGCTACACTACATCCCACTATTTTTTCCATTATGACTCCAGCTCCTTAATTTAAATTCTATTCGAGCGGTGTCCTAACATCTCCTAAAATTTTCCATACAACCACGTTACTCACCAAATAGTAGAAAGTCACAACCTTAGATACTCGTAAGTCGTTATTACCAATCAAAATTCATTTAATAAACAATCTTATCATATAGTTGAATCTCAATCACAATCCTTCATGAACTCTTATTACCATCATGCTTAGTTAGCCCTTACCATCACCACGAAATCAGCCTTTTCATTGACACAACACCTCAAATCTAGTTATACCAATAAAATTCAAAGGACTAACCCAATTTTACATACTTTCTTACTAAAATATTCAATTTCCTTCACCCAAGTATACTCACTGGGATTTTTTTACTCATAATCTTGTCATTCTGATATTTATCCACTCCTTTGGAGCTTAAGATAAAATTACCAATCCTCATTTAGAATCCTCAAGATACACTGCACAACCTAAATGCACTAATACCTTACCAAAGATCCACCAGTAAAATCATCTTTTAAACAATATTTAACCCAAGAATCTATAGTAACAAATTAGTTGGTTTCTCAAATGCGAATGCAACATCAAATCTCATTATCTGAACATGTCATACAACTAATAACTCCTTAAGTAGTTAGTATTCACACTTGACAATCGACGTATCCGTTTCCACATAACACTAGTACCACACCGTGAAAGTCCATTAGATCTATCACTAAATACATCATATCTATCGAAAATATCATACCCAAATAGCTCACACATTTCTACCCATTGAATAGATGTAAAACAATATCAAATCTCTTATGTCTCTAGCCCAAGCAATATGCATTCTTTATTAGATCAGGTCGATAACAAAGGTAACACACTTCATAACTCTGACCAAGTAAGTATTGGTACTGTTGTAGTAGTCGTATCATGACCCTCTTTGATATACACTCAATCTATGAATCGTAGTAGAGATTTTGACCTCAATTGGTGCAACATAATTTCATCATTTGCTATGCGTGTTATGACAACTTTACTAACTGTATTTTCCAAGTAATGTTGTTCATTTTATAGCCGTCCCTTAGGAAACTTCTTGAATGTTGTCACCTTGGAAAAGTCATCTAACTTCACCCCCTCTACCTGTATCACAAAATCAACCACTTCCTAAAAAGATTTTGCTAAAGCAACCCCTTATAAAGCTTGAATTTGCAAATCTAAATCACATATCTTGATAATACATGAAATTTGGCCTCATAGGTTGCAACAAATATCTCTCGTTCCTCTATATTAAGGAACTCATCTCTCCTCTTCTCCCTCATAGATCGAGGTACATACTTCTCCGTGAAGAAATTAAAAAATGTTGTCCAAGTCATAAGTAGTGTCTATACTGGTAGGCATTCAACATGAGATCGCCACCACATTTTGGCGGCTCCCAAGAACTGGTATGTCACAAACTCAACACCAAACCTCTCCAGTATATTCATCTTATGAAGAAGCTCATGACAATCAACAAAGAAATCAAAAGCATCTGAGTATTCAGTACCCATGAAGAATGAGCATTTTCAACTTTAAGAACTTACTAAAGAGATCATGTTGGTCACTAGTCATTATAGGCCATGTAGTCTATTGGAGAATCATGCCTATTTCCAAGGACACATCCTTTCTTTTGGTGTTGCTACTGTCACTTCTATTGCTCTAGTTCTGACCATATGTGAAATAGAGTGAAGATATTCAGATACCAATTTGTATCACCTAGTTACCAATTGGATTCAAGTAATTGTACAAAAGAAAGAAATAAAAGAGTTTTCTTAAAGTCCTATAGCCTCTCGAAGAAAAGTAAAGGCGTCCCCGTACCGTTCCGCAAGACTCTACTAGACTTGTCCTTGTGTGATGAGATCACCGAACCTAAAGCTCTGATACCAAGTTTGTCACGACCCAAAACGAGTCATGAGTGGCACCCACACTTAACCTCCTAGGTGAGAGAACCAACGAATTCAACTCAAGTTATTTTAGTTGTTCTACTTACAAAATACAATAATAATGCAGAAGCTCAAATTTTATTAAGGTAAGAAACATAACTTCACTAAAGTCTACTATATGTCATTCCCATAACCTGAAAGTCATCACATCAATGACATCTAATCTCCAAATACTAAGTCTAAGTGTAACACCCCAAAATACTAACCAAGAGTCACATGTCGATTTACCATTGCTTAATTACAACAATATGTTTTATTCTCATTTTGGGAACTTGAAATTTTGTCATATTTGCAAACTTGCTTAACATAAATTGAGACAGTCATTTAAGGGATTGTATTGAGGTATTTACATAATATTCTAATTAGAATTATGCATAACTTGAAAGGGAGATGAGGGTTATACATATAGGTATATATGTATGCATTTTAGGCAGCCAACCTTTTTTTAGGCAACTACCTTTTGGAGACAGTTGTTCATGTGATAAATATCACTCTTGAGACTATATTTTTCCACCTTCTCTAGTGAAATTCGTTTCCCCTAAAGTCTAAGAACCTTAGAACATTATCTAACCATTTATTCTTCAAAATCACAAGAGAGAAACTTGGTCCTTTTGGCTGGAATTCTAGACACACCCTTCTCTTTGGTTGTATATACTCGTGAACAAGTTGAGGACCATGATACGTTGGTTGGTCTACGGTTTGAACTCTTAAAGTTGTGTTGGACTGTTTCTAAGCTAAACACTGAGGTTTGTGTATAAACCTGTACTTGTACTCTTTTTACATGCTAGTATATCTGAAAGTTTATCTGGGTACCTTGGTTACCCCTTGTCACTTTTCATTGTCGTGTTGGTATCCTTTAAGACATTAAAGATGTTTGTGTAACTCGCCCACTTTTACAGAATGTTTGATCACTTGGTACTTATGTTGGGACCTTGTCTTTCTTTTGGCTGTGACTTTGTCACTATTGGCATGCCTCGTGATTTGGATCATTTGCCATCTTGACTCTGGATTTTAGTCCGTCTTAAGAATGGAAGTTGTGCATTTTAAGGACGAACTAGAAAGCCATTTTTAATATGGTTCTTGGTTCTCTTGATTAATGGTCTTTGACCCTTCTTGATATAGGGTGTCGGTCCTTCTTGATACATGCTTGTGCTTGGTGTGACGACATGATGTATATATTG